GGTCATGAGATAAGATTGAGTTATGCTGTTAATCTCTCCAACAGCTGAGGCTCTCCTGAGTCTAGGAGATGCCTCCTCTTACCATGAGATGTAAAATGGGACAAGCGAGGAGAGCTGTCAGATTACAAACTAAGAAATCTGAATCAAGTAACACCAGAAATGTGGTAATGCGTTGACATTTTTACTCTTTTTTAAAGAAAAGAGAAAGGAAGAGATGTGGTGGTACTGGCAGCAGTGTAAAGGCAGAAGAGGTCAGGGTGATAATGGCAGCGGTGGTGGGAGTGGAAGAGGTGGTGACTATGGAGATGGTGGTATTGGTGACTGGTGTCCATCATGGTAGAGGTGGTGGTAATAATGGCGATGGCAGTGGCAGTGATGGTAGTGGTGTGAGTGACATGGGGGAAACTCCAAGGCAAACAGGAGACTTGCCCAAGTAAGGGTTTGGCTACTTAAACTCTATGCCATAGTTTGGTAGCATTTTCCAAATGGAGGCACCTGCAAGACGCCTCCTCCCTGGCTGCTGGGGTGGTGGTGCAGAAAGTGCTCTGGGAGTCCCAGCATTTTCGCTAGCCAGTCCATAACATTCATCTCCAGCTCTGTGCACACAGGGCTGGAAGCCTGAAAGAGGGAAAGGAAAGTCATCAGGATATCCCAGGGCCACCAAGATGCCCCGTTTATCCCCAGAGACACATTCATCTCTGCTCTGGTCCTCCCCAGCCCTAATGGTATCAGTGGGATCTTATCATCTTCCAGGAGAAGGGGTCAAGGTCAGGATCTGTGCCCAACTCCCACCTCATCTTCTGCCAAACCAAAAGAGGGAAATAATTTGGGGCTTTGGATTCATGCCACCCTCACTGAGGTGGGTTACCTTATGACTACAGGGCTCTATAGAGAAATAATGCTAGAAATGATTGACTTGGATTTGGCTCCCCAAGTCCCTAACATATCTAGCTGAGAAGCACTCTAAAGCCTAGGCGGCAGTTTTAAGACTAAGAAAGCACTTCTTCCTGGAAAAGACAGTAACCTCCTCCCTTACACACACACACCCCCAATGATATTTTAGACTTAAAATAAAAAGATGTTCTAGGAGGTTATTGGCACAATTTAAAACTGATTGGTGCTTATAGGGTTATTAAGGGAGGTTTGAGAGCATAACCCTAATCTTTCAAAGACAAGAGTATAGGGGAAGTTGGGATCAACCAGGCATGGAATTGCACTAGGTTGGGTCCCAGATTTTGGCAATAGACAGATCTCAGTTCAAATCTCAACTCTGTGTCTAGGTGTGGTATGATCTTGGGGAGATAAGTTACTTAAGCCTCAAT